AGCCCCGCTGGGATTCCCAGCTGCAAATTCAGAGAGTTGCAAGTTTTCAGACCTGAGGACATGGTTTGGAACTGCATACTCAGGCCTAAATCCATGCTTTAATGCTCATTATTCAGTATCATAATTAGGTTATTTTTTTTTCTCTGTATTTTGCCTTTGCAGGATTAAATAGTCACCGATGTCTTGGTGAGATGAACGAACACCACAGTTCTCATGTTGAAGAAGAGGAAGGAATCATAAAGGATTTTAGCCAGGAATAACCTCAGAGAGTGACTCCTGAGAAACGCTGCGGACACGAGGAGAATGCGAGTTTCTTGCCACACAGATATCTTTGAAGGAGCTGGAATGAGAGCTGCAGGCACGGACAGACTCCCTGCTTTCACCTCTCTGCAAGATTCCCGACTCGCGCTGAGAATCTCTCCTGCCGCAAGAAGCTATCCTGATGACATGCACAGATTTCATTGTCGTTGAGGCGGGATTATATCCCTAAGTAAGGCTATAGCCAGAGTGGTAATTAGCTGTACGCTGATTGACTTGGACATCGTAGAGACTAAAATAAGCAGCAACCTGTACACGTCCTCAGAAAAGATGCTGCAAAGTTCCCTGAAGAAATGGTCAAACAGTTTGTGTTGCAGGCGTTTTGGGGCCAGCTGGAGGCAAATCGCCGCCTCATCAGGCCATCTAGGCTAATTCAGGAGGGGGAATGGCAATTTCTTCCAGCTACTTTCTGTCTATCTACTTTATTTTCTTAGGTGGGGAAGCTCTGTAGAAAGATGATGTTGTGGTTACAGTGCATGACTGGTTCTGCTTTCATTTCCCACATGGTTTTAGGCAAATTGCTTCATGCCTCCGTGTTTTTTGACTTTTCCTCCAGTGCAAAATGTCTTTTCTCCCAAGAGACGTTCTGAAGCCTGAAGTCATTGCTTTTTAGTGACTTTCGCACGGGATGTGCTGTAAAGTATTTGAAAATAATTGAAAGTGTTACAGAACAGCAGTACAGTGAGTCTTCTGAAATCTTAGCACTGTACAAGCGTTCCTTTAATTATTATGTACGACTGAGCAATAATGGGAACACTTTTAGTCTACACTTTGTAATAAATACTGAACTCCAAGAGCTAAATAATAAACCTCAAAGGCAGGGCATTTTAAAGCTCAACTAATAACAAATAAGCAGGACACTTAAACTAGATCTTTCTGCTAATCTTTTAGTGATAAATGACCCAATTAAGAAAAAAGCAAAGACAAAATGTTCACGCAAGCTGATGGGTCAAATTATACCTCTAAAGCTCTCTAGTTTAATAGCTTAATCGTAAGCAAACAGGCTGCAACTGGCAGGTAAGAAAAAGCAAAAGTGACTGTGAGCTATTGTGCACTAGAAGGCTGGATTATCCACCTGTTTGCGGTGCTGGGCTCAAGGAAGACGGAAAGTTTATTACGAGTCTGATCCAGAGACTGCTGGTATCAACAGAAACTTCCCCGTGCTGCCCACAAAACCTCGATGCAGTGCTGGGAGCCTGTCTGGGAGCTGAGCTGCTACTGGCCACTCAGTTCCTTCGGTCCCAGGAGCTGTTTGTCGGTACATAGAATCAGAGAACAGTTTGGGTTGGAAGGGACCTTAAAGACCATTCAGTTCCAACCCCCCTGCCATGGGCAGGGACACCCTCCACTACACCAGGCTGCCCAAAGCCTCATCCAACCTGGCCTTGAACACTGCCAGGGATGGGGCAGCCACAGCTTCTCTGGGCAGCCTGTCCCAGTGCCTCACCACCCTCAGAGTGAAGACATTTACAGTCTTACTGAAAAAAACATTTTGTCATCAACTCTAAATAATAAAGTGAGCAGTATTCCTGTGTATATTCCAATGTATATCCTGTTTGGATATACATATGTGTCATGTCTTGTTTTCACACTGTGGAGTGAAACGCACCGCGTCGCATCCTCGATGATAGTTGTGCAATTAGGCTTGAAGGGATTTGCTAAGGATTAACAAATGCTGTCTAGCAGGTGTTCCTCCCCAAAACGTCACGAAAGATTTCTGCAACTGTGGAAATGTAAAGAAAGGACGAGAAGCAGGAGATGGGTCTCTCATCGGTAGTTATCTTTGATATAGCTGTCAATTGTTTCTGGCAATTTACCGGTACGAAATTAGTCCTAAGACATGCTTTGAGACACCCACACCCCCACTCCCCGCCCCAAAATTTCCCCCAACAACAGAAGCTGCTGGGGCAGGTCGGATGTGCTGTCAGGAGAAGCACCTACCCAGCGCCAGCCAGCCCAGCCGCACGCTGCTACAGCCCAAGCAGAGCTGTTGGGACGCAGCGCCGTGTTTACTGGTGCAGAAAATTACGCCCCAGTAAGCCATAAATATTGTAAGGAGAGGGAATGAAGATGGGAGCAGCACTGAGATGGAAGGCTCTCCCAACAGGACTTCTGAACTCCAGCAGCAGCTCCGCTGCTCCCTTATTCCTTCAGCCTACTGGAGAAATCACCATTAACCAGTGGTTAAATTAATCTTGCTGTCCAGATTCAATCCCTTACTGCATAGATGAGCAGTTTTTAACAACCTGGTGGGGAGTGATGCCCTGCCAGCTTTCCCACGGGAGCCTTGTCTGCAAACACGGGAAGAGGCCGGCATGTGTGCTCTCCAAACTGCCTGCTCGTGCACATCACCTTGCTGGGACCGCCCAGCAAACTCCTAACTGGGATTTGGGTGCTGCTGGGAGAGCTAAGCAGTGAGCAGGGCCTGCAGAAAAGAGCAGCTCCCCTCCAGATCTATCCAACATGGAATCTTGTTTCTCTTTTTCTTACAAATAGAGGTGAGGAGGTAAGTGGGACATCCAGGAGCAGGAAGAGATGACAGATGATGGATATTAAAAAGACACTTTAATTACAGGAGTTGGAGAGAGGGTCCTGTATGCACATAAATTTTTAATTGTTGCTTTTTATAGGGAAGAAAATCTCTGTGCTCCCAAGCAGTTCCCAGTAGCGAAAGCCCTGATCTCAGAGTGCTGCTGACTCTAATCACTTCAACACAGAGCAAAAGAAAATGCTGTGCTTGTTAGAACCCCTTGGTTAAACTTCAACAACTTCTGCAGAGGAGAAGTGTTTGTTTCCTTCCATCTGCTGCCTTTGCAAGGAAGGAAAATCAGCCTGTTCAGATACCAGGAAGTTCTTCAACATTTGAGCAGCTAGCTGTGAACGCAGGAACAATAACATGCATAAATTATCATACCTAAAAATACCCTGCATGCCAGTCACACATATAACCCAGCCCTGGAGCAATTCCTAAGTAACGTCAGACTGCGTAAAGGGTGCAGATACACGGGATGTGGGCAGAACAGGGCAGCTGTGGCAGCAGGTGCACGTGCCTGGCTCTCCTGCACCGTCGTAGTTTTTTTCCTCTCATCAAAACATGTTTTGCTTTTGCTGGGAGCTGCTGACTCCTACGTCTTTGTGCACCGTGTCTGCCAAAGCCACTTGCACAGGAGATGAAAGCGAGAGCCAGACCCTTTGCCATCAACCGAGACTCGCGGCGTTTGAGTTTAAACCAGATCCTTTTGCCAAATCCAGGCTGGCGCTGGGGCTGCGTGCGCGGCGTGGCAGGATGCTGTAAGGCTGATCCGCAAACGCAGCAGCTCTCCGTAGCTCGGAGGGGGCGAAGTGCAGGAGAGAAGGCACGGGCAGGCGGTGGGGACTGGGTGATGGGTGTCCATGGGCTGCTCGGATGGCAGACAGACCCAACAGCCCGCAAGTCTCCCACGTTAGGAATGACAGGACAAGAGGGAATGGCCTCAAGTTACACCAGGGGAAATTTAGGTTGGATATCAGGAAAAATTTCTTTATGGAGAGGGTTGGGAAGTATTGGAACAGGCTGCCCAGAGAGGTGGTGGAGTCTCCATCCCTGGAGGTGTTTAAGAAACGTGTGGATTTGGTGTTGAGGAACATGGTTTAGGGACCCTGACAGTGCAGGGTGAACAGTTGGACTCGATGATCTTGAGGGGCTTCTCTTCCAACCAGATGATTCTCTGATAAGTCACCCCAGGGAAGGACACGGCTGTTGCCCTACGGCTCACTGCTGTGGGAAGTCCACGCTGTCTCTTGCTATCAATTCCTATGCAGTCGGTGCCTCCAGTATTTGCTTTTCATAAATCTCCGAGCCCTCGCTGCGTTTCCGTGGTAACGCTGAGCGATCCGACGTGGGTTATCTGCAGAACCGAGGTGCTGGTGCACTCTCCCTTCGGAGCCCTGCAGCAGTTTTGGCTTTGCACAGCAGGAGCTGCAGGTGTGCTGCAGTAATGGTGATGGTTTCTTCACCACGATTCCCACGTCAGCGGGGGATCAGCAGGTACGCGCACCAGATCCCCTGCGTGCCAGCAGTACGTGCCGAACGGATCGAAGCAGACCCAGGACGGGAACTGTTCAGACCTCAGCGAGGCCCTCGCTGTCTCTCCATCCCAGTGGAGGCACAGCCCCCGTTTAGCTCAGCACCTTGGTCCTGTAATTCCTGCCAGTGTCCATTGGGTCTGTCGCACCGATACGACCCCGATGGGAGAAGCGGACACGCTGTTTCTCACGGAGCCAAAGCCCAGGCTGCCCTGCGCTGCGGGAGAGCAGAGGATGCCGCTGCTGTCAGCCCTTCACCCAGCACTACAGCCACCAAAATGCTTTCCCGCCTGCTGGCTAACCACTGCTGATGGAAACACACGGCACTTCCAATTTATTTAGTCTCTGCAGCCTAAAACTCTTCCCATGTCTGACCACAGCCGCCTGGATACGGCCCGTCACGCCCATCGTTCGCCATCCCAACACGAACCAAGCCAGGGCTTCTCAGCATCCACGACGGGACAGTGTCAGGAGCACTCAGCCTAGCCACGTCGTTTAAATTATTAAAATACGAAGGAACTGCACAGGCTGGATCCTCACAAAGCAATTTGTAATTAGTCTTTTTTCTAAGGGAAGGGAAAAGTTGGTCTTAGTCCCGTGCATGCTCTGTTACCAAGTCTCCCGAGGGATCACCCAGAAAATTACCATTCCTTCATGTGGAATAACTTCTTTAAGCACATTGACATCGCAGCAGAAAACGTTCACGTTTTGGATGGAAATGCACCTGATCTACAGGCAGAGTGCGACGCATTTGAGGATAAAATCAAAGCAGCTGGAGGAATTGAACTCTTTGTTGGAGGTGAACACCCGAAGGACTAGCGGTCTCTAAATGCTGGCAGGCAGCACAGCCTTTCCTCCTCCATCCATCCATCCATCCATCCCTCCATCCATCCATCCATCCATCCATCCATCCATCCATCCACCCACCATCCATCCACCATCCATCCATTCATCCACCATCCATCCATCCATCCATCCATCCATCCATCCATCCATCCATCCATCCATCCATCCACCATCCATCCACCATCCATCCATTCATCCACCATCCATCCATCCATCCATCCATCCATCCATCCATCCATCCATCCATCCATCTCTCCCTCCCTCTATCTAATTTATTGCCAGGAGGTTCATTTTCAGTGCTGTTCAGTGGATTTGCAGTGAAAGCCACTCTATACTCCATGGCCCTGGGCACTCGTGTGCTGGCAGCCTTGCCTTCCAATGTGCCACTCCCCCAGTTTCAAGTATTTCACTCCAGTAAGTGAATTGTTCATGAAACGATTAGCAGGAGAAACAGGCAGGGCTGGAACTGCAGCAAATACAAAATGTATTATAATTGCCAGTGCTAACAGGAAACTGGTAGGAACCGAGTTCTCTGAGCCAGCAGGAGCTCAACACAAGCTTCTCCCATCGGTTTGCCTGAAGATTCTGCCATCTACTCGTCCCAGCACAATTAGGGAAGAGCCTTTGTTGACTTCAGAGAGGCTTTTGCTGTCATTCCTACCAGAAGCAAATTTAAGCTTGAGCAGAAAAAATTGCGAGTGTTTTTCTCAGATCTGTACCTTTTCCTGGAAGAATGTCCTTCTAATAGGACTGCTGTTGGCTCTGCTTCCTACAATAAGCATTACAGCCACTGATCTACTTGCCAAACTCTGTCACAGGTATTGGCCCAGACGGTCACATTGCCTTCAACGAGCCTGGATCAAGTTTGGTATCCAGGACACAAGTGAAGACCTTGGCTATGGACACTATACTGGCTAATGCCAGGTTCTTTGATGGTGACCTCTCCAAAGTCCCCACAATGGGACTCTGGTCGGAGTAGGCACTGTCATGGATGCCAGAGAGGTTAGTAGAAAAGCAGTGACCTCATACTGTAGCTCTTGAGCAGGGCTGCCTGGAGCAGCTAAAGATGCAAGGGTGTGTAGCGACAGGACACGGGGCAATGGCTTTAAACTGAAAGAGGGGAGATTTAGATTGGATCTAAGGAAGAAATTCTTCCCTCTGAGGGTGGTGAGGCACTGGGACAGGCTGCCCAGAGAAGCTGTGGCTGCCCCATCCCTGGCAGTGTTCAAGGCCAGGTTGGATGAGGCTTTGAGCAACCTGGTGTAGTGGAGGGTGTCCCTGCCCACAGCAGGGGGAGTTGGAACTGGATGATCTTTAAGGTCCCTTCCAACTCAAACCATTCTCTGATTCTACGATGATTCTGTAATCCAGTCTCGGAGCAGCGATGCACCCTGCTGGTGTAGGCCAGCTCATCCTTTCCCTGCCACAGGCAGCTGAGTTCCTGATCCTCCTTTTCTTTTGCATCCTGCAACACTATGGAAAGGCTCTTGCTGTCTTCCATTATAGCTCCACCAACACTTGTGTAACTGTGCAGTACAGTTGTGATCCACAGGGAGCTAGAAAGGTTTGGGAGGATGTCTTTGGTTAAGAATCTCATCTGGGAAAACAAATGTAAGAATCACTGGCTGACTTGACATTATACCAGCAGATCATGAAAACCATATGGGATAGCTTTTAATTGCATCTATACCTTGATCTGTACTCATTAAATCTCAGCATATAGGTGCCTAACAGGGGAGCCCAAAAGATCCAAATCATTAAAATGACCCACCAGGCTATGATCTAATGGACAAATAAAATGCCACCACAGCAAACAGAATTGTGATACAGGATAGTGGACGATGGTGGACGTTTCCCCTGTTAGGGACCGGGGCAGCTCCCCTCGGAAAGTGTGGGTGCAGTCTCTCCGAACGCCTCTTCTAGACCCTAACTGCCATCCTCTGTGTGTTGGAGTCCAGGTGATGATCCTTATCACAGGAGCCCACAAAGCCATTGAGGAAGGTGTCAACCCCATGTGGACAGTTATCTGCTTTCCAGCAACACCTCAACACTGGGTTTGCGTGCGATGAGGATGCCACGCTGGAACTCAGAGTTAAGATGATGAAATGCTTTAAGGGTGAGTGTCTGACCAGGCCAAGCAGCTGTTGCACCTAGTTTTCAGTGGCACAAGCCATGCCTCACCTAAGATACTTTTGTTTAATCAGCTCCCAAAGGAGTATGTTCGGCTGAGGTGTACGGCGATAAGAAGAGGACAAAGGTAATGCTTATCTGCGGGCATGGGAACAAAGGAACAAGGACTCTGGTCATGTCTAATTTCATTAGCATCCTATGAGTGAGAATTTTGCTTTATTATGTCTACTTAAGTCACCTTTTTGCTTGCTACAGTAGGTTTAATGCTGGTTCACAACAAGCTTGTGGAACCCTTATACAGCGTGAAGGAGACGGGAGCAGAAAGAAGCCACACAGCCACTAATCTCGGTGTTCAGAGTAGTGCTGAACCAGCTTTTCTGTTGGAAACCAGCTGTGAAGAAAGGGAATTGCTGCAGAAACTCATGTTTGTTCTTAAATTAGCAAAATGATTATGTGCTTGCTTCTCTCTATTGCAGACAGATGCAACACCTGCCTTAATTAACCAAATGAGGATGGGATCCAGTATACTGTGCTCCACGAACTTCCACCACTGGCTTGTACTCTGAAGGCAGCAATGGAGAATGAGTTGTTTAATCTGTGAAGCAACTGTAATCATGTGGACTGAAGGCCTCAAAGCTTAAACATGAAGATATGTGAAAGTACGATGTCGCAGAAACCAAACGGGTAACCCCTTTGGGATGTATTCCTTGCAATTAGGACAAGTACCCTTTTTGTCACCCCCTCTCCACAATACACTCTTACATTATACTCAAAATGGGATCTGAGCTTGTTCAGCCTGGAGAAAGGAAAGCTTCAGCATGACTAAGTAGCAGCATGCTCCACAGCTACGAGGAGGTCATCAAGATGAAGCCAGGTCTCCTGGGCAGCATGTGACAGTGGGGCTTCAGGTGATGCTCAGACTGGATACATGGAAGAAAATTCCCCAGGAGGACAGTCAGGCAGCAGAGCAGGTTCCCCAGAGAGGTTTTGCAGTCTCTGTCCTTAAGAAGTTTTCAAGACCTGACTGGACAAAGCCCTGGCTGAACCCAGCTTTGAGCCAGATGTTGGAACTTGAGACCTTCTCAGCAAAGGGGAGGCTACAGGCAGCCTTCATCAGTGCTGCGTTAATGACAGAAGCCCCACACAGGTGGGCAACAACCTGTACTGGCAAGACCCCTCCAATTCTGACACTCGGTATGCTATTGAGTGAGGAGCAAAAATAAGTGGGCAGAATTTATTTTCTTTATGCAGAAATTTTGTAACCTGTTGATCTGTAATGTAACTTTCTACAGTAAATGTCTTAATTTTTTCTCAATGCTCACATTGACTGTTGCTGGTGCTCAGTCTCGCTGTACGAGTGAAACACGGAACAGTGTTGGCCCAGAAGGCCAACCGCGTCCTGGGCTTGATGTGGCTGAGCAGGACTCGTGACACCATTTTTGAACAGCAACACCACAACCTTCGAAGCATGAGAAAGACCTGTGACTTTGCACAAGATTTCTCCATCACCCAGAACTGAAGCTGCGTTGAAAGCAGTTTGGTAGAAATAGCTACTGCTGCTCCCTGCCCCTTGCCCGGTGTTTGCCAGCAGGTTTTCACAAAACACCTGCTCTGACTCTGTCCTGCCAGGCAGCAGCTACTTCATATAAAAAGGTGGGGATCTTGAACGGAGAAAAAAGGTCACAGCTCTGTATCTTTTATTACCAAGTGTCTGCACATAATCTAACGCTCATTCTACACGTGCACAGAAATGGAGCGAGGTCTACAGGAGGAAAAAGTACACCCTGAAGAAGAGACTCTGTGCCACGTTACCCGTCGCCTCTCCCCGCCTGCGAAGACAAGTTCTGGTTTTAGCTGTCCTACCCTCGCACCAGCAGCCGACTGTCCTACGAGCGCAGCCACCTGCTTGCCCCCTCCTCTGCCTCACTGCAGAATGCAGGAGCTCGGGCCCAGGGGCCCCACCTGCCCAAAATTCACAGACACAGCGGTGACTGCATCACGGTGACTGCATCACGGCTCCTCCTCGCTCCACACGCTCTGGGAAGCAGGAGGAGTTCATTGCAGCATCTTCAAATCCTTCCCCAAAGCTCTTGTGCTCCAGTAGCTCTGGCCAACATCCCCCGCCACGGCTTTGCATCCCAACATACCCTTTGGTGCCCAGGCTCTGCCCTGGCTTGGCAGAAGGGACCTGTCCAGGCTCCTGCAGGTTTAAGGGCTCCAACACCATCTCCTCCACCCAGGCAGGAAAACGGGGTTCAAGCACGTGCTTCTCGTCACCAAACATCCCC